ATGAGAGGAAATGGCCTCAAGTTGTGCCAGGAGAGGTTTAGATTGGATATTAGGAAAACTTGCTTCATGCAAAGGCTTGTCAAGCATTGGAACAGGCTGCCCAAGGAAGTGGTTGAGTTTTGATCCCTAGAGGTGTTTAAAAGATGTGTAAATATGGCCCTTGGGGATGTGGTTTAGTGGTGGGCTTGGCAGTGCTGGGTTAATGGCTGGACTTGATGATCCTAGAGCTCTTTTCTCACCTAAGTGATTCTGTGATTCTGTGATTCTGCTTCAGTTCAACCAATAGGCAGAAGCACAGGTAGTGTGTGCAGTTACAAGCATGTGTGTAATTCCACTGTTACCTCTCCTTTCACACAGTTGACACAGGGTTTCTCTGCCATATCCAGCACATGTTTTTCTTGGGAGAGAAAAAAGCTTTCTCACAATTATCCCATATTCAACTTCCAAATTACAGAGATGATGATGGCAGTATAAAAGGCAACATAAATGCTCTATCAAATGTTTAAAAAAATTAATTTTCTGTTGCTCTGTAATGAACTGCATTAAGCCAGAGACCATCGGCACAGAGGGAGGTTATAGTGATTAGCAACACCAATGGGAGGCCCTCTGTTCAGAGTTCATCTGATGATGATATTCATCTTCTCCATTACCAAGAATTAATGTCAAAGCATGAAATTTTGATCCATCCTAAGCGGATACTGTGATAAGGTCTGATTCTCTCTTGAAAATAAAAGTCTCATAAACATTGTATAATAACTTTTGTATTAGTTTTATGATGCTACCATTCTCTGGTTTTATCTAATTGTATTATGGTACATGGAAGCAATTTTGATTTGTAAATCTTTCAGAGCAAGAAGTTTTGTCTGCCTTCATCATCAGACCCCTTATCATATTTGGATATACCAGGTTGTATTTATCCCTCTGACTCAATGTAGAGGACTCTGGAGAAGAATGAGTCTACTGACAGCATTACAAGGGAAAAATAAAATAGATATTTACAGAAAGAGACTGTGACAGTAAATTGATGTGCAGAAACAACGTGATGCATCATTTACATGTGAACAGCATATGCCTGGAGCCTGCCTGTTCCCTGTTCTTTTGTCTTCTCTTCTCTGGAACATCAGATACAAGAAAATATCACAGTGAAGGAAAACAAAAAAAGCAATTAAATTTGAACAGCCTGTATCATCTCTGCACTATTGAGTAAACCAGGCAAACGTTTAATATAAGAGGTTTCAATATGTACCTTTGCAGAATTAGTAAGAAGGGAGAGAGAATTCAGATGATCCTGAACTAAACTGCATCTTATTCACAAATATCTTGCTTCTTTGAAAAGTTCACAAGAAAATAACTAGTTATTGGAAATCTATTGGGGGGGAAAGAAAGGAAAAGAATATGATGCTGTGTCAGGTAAAAGTTCAGCCAAAGTCAAACACTTTTACTTTCAAGTTATTTGGCAAAATGTAGTACATGGAATCACTAATCAAGAGAAAATCTTTAAAAGATCAGGAGAAACAGCAGCTGGTCAAATTATGAACTGGATACTAGTAGAAAGTAAAGTGCTGATCTTATTACCTGGTTTGGAGATTTCACTACTGGCAATTCCCAGACGATATATTTTCCAGGCAGTTTACAGTCCTGACACAAAAGTCATCACTTTGATCCTACACCTTGAAGAAAATGTCTGATGCAAAGCAAAAACTGAAAGAACGTCTTTCACTTTGTTTGTACAAAAAGGCTTTCAAGAGAACACGACCTTAAAAACATAGTTCTAAGAAAATCAAGTAACACAGAAGTAAGTCACTTAAAAAAAAAATAAAAATTATTGAATGGTCTTTGGAAAATCAGAGCTAAACTGTTTTTTCATAAATTTGGCAAAACACTGACCTTATATAGAAAACCGCTCTGATCAAAAAGACCCCAACACATCAAAACCTGTGAAAAATAAGTAGCAAGGACAGGGATGCCTCCTGGAGGACTGTGTCTACTGGCAACCCACACTGGGGCAGGGACCCACTGGAGGCCACCAAAGTAGTATTTTTACCACTGCAGTGGCACATAGTTGATTTCCAGAGTTTTTCCAAATTACCTGAATCCTTATGGTTAATTAGCAAGGATTAGTTGAGACTATTTTGCCCACGACACAATCTAAGTGCCCTATTTTTTTATTAATTGGGAGATATGGAAGGGCATGATGTAGATGTCTAAGGTTTCTTCCCATTATTCAAAATGAGAGCCAGATGCCTGTAGCACAGGTAATCCTACTAAGCTGCCTTGACTTTATGGACAATGAAGCCAAAAGGACAGGGGGTTCAGCTATTGAGCTCTCCCTTCCCATTTTTAGTTGGGTGAAGCTGCACAAGTCAGCTCAAAGCCAACTCAGCTGCATATTTCTTCTGCTAGAGCATTTGCAATTACACTGAGCTACATTCCAACTTCAAGAGAGACAAACTCACACAAAGAGACTTGGGTTCATGGAGTCTATCTCTGCAGTGGAAAATGTCAACTCAATTTTCCTCTTCCCTTGTATAAAGACTCCTTCAAGTAAAGAGGGAATTGGCTGATGTAATTGCTGAGACATTCTCCATCGCATTTGAAAAGTCATGGCAATCAGGTGTAGTTCCAGGTGACTGGAAAAAGGGAAACATTGCACCTGTCATTAAAATGGGTAGAAAGGAGGCTCCTGAGAGCCAACATATCAGCCTGACCTCTGTGTCTGGGAGCATCATGGAACTCTTAGAAGTTATGTTAAGGTACACAGGGGACAGGGAGGTGATTTGGGACAGCCTGTATGGCGTCAACAAGGGCAAATCCTGCCTGACCAACCTTGTGGCCTTCTATGATGAAGTGACTACATCAGTGTGATTAGAGAAAGGCCTTGGGTGTCATCTATCTGGACATAGGTAAGACTTTTGGCATATCTCCCACAACATCCCTCTCTCTAAATTGGGCACACACGACTTTGATGGGTGGACTGTTCAATAGATGAGAAACTGCTTGGACAGCCACACCCAAAGAGTAGTGGTCTAAGGCTCAATGTCCACATGGACATTGGTGACAAATGGCCTCCCTCAGGGGTCTGTTTGGGATCAGTGCTATTTAATGTTTTCACCACAAACATGGACAATGGGGTGGAGTGCAAATCCACAGGAAACAGAGACATTTTTATTAAAGGTTTACAGTGCAGATACAGAAGTTGTGTAATAATATGCTACTTACTGCAAAGCACTACCAATGAACATTCAAGCCTTATGGAAAAAAAAGACATTTTTCTTACTTTTTGCTAGTGCTCTGCTAATAAAATTTACTTCCTTATATCCTTAAGCCATCAAGGCTACAATATTATTACTGCTAAACATATTTACAGTCAGGTTTCTCAATTTTTGGATTGCAGAAACAGAAAATGTCCTTAAAAATATTTGGCTGTCTGCTGGCAAGTCACAGTATTTTGCCTGTGTGCTTCATGCAAAGTAAAGAAAAAATAATGGCTTCAATTAATTACATAAATTTTGTGAAAGCTGAACTCTTGACTACCCACAAAACTATGATCTGAAGTTGACTTAAACACGTTTTTTGTCTATGAGTTAAGACTTTCTTTCATTCAAATATTCATTCAATATCTTAAAATTTTTTGATTGTCATATGTGAGCATGTCAGACTACTCTGAGTCCATCAGGTAGTAATGATTTCACAGGATGTTACTCCATTTAAATCTAGTTAATTCTAGATTTATAATTAATAATTAACAATAATAATAATGAATAATTTTGTTATTTAAATAATACTGCTGTGTGGTACAAAACAAGGTATCAACTCCTTCAAAGTGCCTAGCTTATGTTGTTTAAAAATTAGATGCAAAACCTCTTAGAATGGTGATGACTCTGGTTTAAACTTTAATGATGGCTATGAGGTGATACAGCTAAACTAACACAAAATTAAACATAAATTCATATGACCACACAGTCAAATTTTCAAAAGAAAGAGAAAAAAATTAAGGCACTTCTGTTATATCTAGCTTCATCCTCTGCTGATATATAGGCTACATATTTAGCTGCAACACAGTGATGAAACTCAAATAATCCTTTAATTTACAACTTGCAAGGATTTGGTCTTCAATCTTTATTATGCAGTCTATGGCAGAAACAAACAATTTCACATTATAACCTTATTTTTACACAGACTTTAACAATGAAAATAAGAAATATATTTTGGCTGCAGAACAAAACAAACAAACAAACAAACAAACAAAAAACCTGTTCCATATAGCTGTATTTCAGAATACACTTAAATTCATCAAAGTACAATTTTCCTCCAGTTAACTACTGATGATTTATTTACAGAGCAAGTAACAAACAATGTCTAGAAAATACCATTGAACCACAAGTTATCTACATGGATATTTCTAATCTTCATAATAGAAAACAGCTAAGAAGGCATTTGCTGCAGCACATTGTTTCTTCCTGAAATCTTAATGTGTTTTAGCAGCTAATACAAAATGCAGATGCAGACTGTATCATGTTAATTAGAAAAGCAAACATACTATGGGTTTGGTTAAGAAAAAGTAGATGTCTAGCAAATTGGTTTTTAAAATTTCTTTTTTAAAAAAGGTCTAATGCATTAACTGCTCCAAGTACTTCATGTAAGGGCTGTTGTTTACTTACAAATTGAAAATGCTGCTGACAGAGCAGCTGAAATTTGAGAAACTACTTGAAAGAGAAGACATCATCAGCCTGTGCAAGCTGTGACAGGCTTATAGCTACATTTTTATTCCTGAAGAAATTTATGTTAATCTATGCTATTTTGGGGATCATTTGACAGTCAATAACAATGTAGAATTCTTTCATTTACTCCTATCTTTTAGAAAAAGTGATAGCTCATTGTTTTGATTTTAAAGTGTTTTTTTAATTTATGTGAAATAGAAGGAGAAGATGAAACTTGGAGGCTTTTTTGTTTGGTTTTTTTTTTTTTTTTTTGTCTTGTTTTGGTTGTTTTGGTTTGCTTTCTTTGTTTTTTTTTTTTTAAGGGATCACTGAAAAAAAATTTTCCTTTGAAACTGCAAAACATGCAACCCTTGCAAGAGAAGACCTCTTGAACTAAAAATGTGTTGTTCTACATGACCTCATGAGACTTCAGCACGTAAACAACCTGCACAGAAAACACCTCTATAAATAAATTTTAAGAGTAAATAGAGTGTACCCAACAGTATTACAACTTCATATCCCATTATTTTCCATCCTCAAAAGCTCACCTTATTTTTCAAACTACAGTTGTCTAGCGTTTGAATTTTTGTTTCCAACCTGTTTTAACACCACTGTAACTTACCAAGAGCATGTCAGGTTGCTACAGGCACAGTAGCTTTGTTTTAGACTAATGTATGTGCTCCTGGTAAACAGGAATGCTTTGAACACTGGAGCCTGGAAAGGCCCCTGTATCTTCTGGCTCTGCTCGCTGTTACATTTCATGCTTCTGTTAAGTGCAATGCAGATGTGCTGCAGAAGCAATTTTTGACAGACTGGAAAAGCAGGCACTTTCCTCTGTGGTATTTTGTTTTTGAGGGAAAGCAAATCCTACATGTTCCCACTAGCCCACCGTGGCAGTGGCCACTGCTCTGAGAGCCATGCAGCGGGAGACCCTGTCACGGCACTGGAGTAGTTTCAGCTTCTTGAAGTTCCAACTGAAAGGAAAGAAATTGCAAATACAATGAACAATTGCTTGATATCTTCCCACCCACAAGTTTGTGTGTGTGTTTTTTTTAGGAGGAATTTATTTCTCATTTGCAGCTACTGTTCTGATGTATAAAGCTGAGCACATAGCCCAGAGTAAGGCCAGGCTATGCTTTTGTCTGAAGCAACAGAGGAAATGATCACAAAGAAACATTAGTAGGTCTGAAATTTGAATTAGAATATACTTCATTCACATCAAGCCAGTTGTTCTCTTTCTAGGGTGGAACTCTCTATGAATTTCATGAGCATGGAAAAATTTCACTCCCTCTCTGTATTCTTTCTGTAGCAGTTACAGGGGAATTCGTGCTTTAGTTGAACACATTCTGTGTTCATATCAGAACAGTGTCTAACTTCTGGATTTTCAGTTATAGTCTAGTTTAAATTCTGTGTTAGGTGGACTCACATCAGCAAACAAACCCAACAATCCCTCAGCCCTGCATGTCCACGGTCTCCAGGCTGAGTCCTACTTGCGTGCAGGCAGGGTAGCACTACAGATGTTCTCACCAAGAAAACCTGCTTGCTGCTTGGCACACCCTGAAAGCCTGCAACCCCTTTTTGCTCAGCAAATTTTGTACAAGAACCTGCTGAGAGCTGGGTGGGAGACACTGCAATTCAAGGGTTTATGGAATGGCATAGACACAGATGGAGCCTGGAGATTCACAAAGAGCCCATGTCAATGCATATCAGCTACAAAAGAAAGCCCAGTTTTAAGGACCTATTACAAATGTTTCATAGATGTCACTATCTTGCCATAAATGGGCTTTTAAAGAAACCAGTACTTTAAAATTATTATTGAAATACAGTATAATTCACTGTAGAGAAAGGAGAAATGTTAATTTTCTAAAAACACACAGGAAGGCCATTCTCTGTTAATACAGATAGATGTGAATCTGCCAAGAAGCTGCCCAATTTTTTCATGTTTCTGCAACAGGAATCACCAGCATTCCCCACATTTGTTCACAGTGGGTCATATAGCACAAGGAAAATTAAGAAGTAAGAAAACACTTATTTCATTCATTTAATCAAAGTGAAACTAGCTTTCAATTTTTCCTTTTTTTAACTTAAAACTTTTTCTTGAATCCAATATCCTTTTTATTTCTACATGTGGCTGCCAATCCAGGCAGTAAAGGCAAAGCTTTCAGGGCTGAGCTTTTTGTTGTTGAACATATCTGAGGCCTCATTTTCAGCATATGGAGAGGATTTACAGTTTCCATTAGGGCATTTAGACATATTTCAGTAGTTGATAAAAAAGCATCAGAAGCTAAAATTGAAAAGAAGAGTTACACACTAAATTGTCCCAAAGATGTGCCTATACATAATTTCCTTAATTGTTTGGATACATTTAGGTGAAGCTGCTATAAAAGCAGCTATAAAAATGGGTCACAAAGAAACTAATCCACTGAAACAAATTAAATTTCTCAGATTTCTATAATTATTAATAATCCAGTTGCCTAATTATTTAGGATTTTTAGTGATTAACACATAGAGACTAGCAAAAAATCAGTTTTCAGGGAAAAATAACTATCAATATTTTAAATTCAAAAAATTAAACCTTCTTTTAATCTCAGAGATAAAGTGATGCAGAGAGTCTCTGAACATCTGAAGTAAAGGCCATTTCAATATATTTGCCAAGATTTTGATATGAGTCAGTTAATGTCAACAACATCAAAAACCCTCAGCCATTTGCAAAAGCTACTATTTGGTCTTTCGTTCCCCTCCCCTGCCAATACTTGGTCATAGAGAAAAGTTCAAAGAAAGCAGTTTTGCTTTTCAAGCATTTTTTCCCCCCAGGATTCCATCACTCCTTCTCCATGCAAATACACTTATAAGATTGCATAAACCCTCCTGAAAACTATAAGCATTTAATCTAAACCTTTTTGGCAATGCCAAGCAGCCACAGAGTAGGCCCAAGGCCACTATATTTAACTCAGAATAATATGAATATTTATGATGTTTCCTGTTGGTGCTTTTGAACTGGTAGAAGACACTGTTGTTCCTTCCAACAACTTAAATACTTAAGTGTCAATTCTAAATGCTTTTAAATGTTTTAAGAGTGTTAGGCCGTATGTGATTGAACCTTGCAGCTCTCATTTAGCAGCAGAAAAGAATTCTTACTTGGCAAAAAAGCAACTTGTAGAACATCTGTTTCTTAGAAAATTGTATGAAATGTGCCAAGTACTACACAGCCTTGCAATTAGAATTCATACCAAATGCTCTCCGAGGCCTTGTCCATACAAGAAAGAGCTTGTCAGTATACCTCAATCAATAGGTACACAAACTAGACTTTCTTTCACAGAAAGCACTTACCTGTAAAAAGAATACCCTGTCTATAGAATTTACAGAATCTCACTGTCTGAGCAAATATTGGTTTGTCTGGGGGTTTATTTTCTTTTTTATTTTCTGAGAGCTAAAGCTTCATTCATTCTAGGGACTTCTGTGTTTAATAATATAAAAATATCAGGTATTACATTTTTAGTTGCTATTCCAGAGAATCTGTTTAGTGCAGATTAGTTTAACAATCTTGTCTCTCATTCTGATAAAAGCAGACATCAAAAATGTCCCTTACAGCAATGTTTGCAGGAGAAAAAAAAAGATAAATTGACTTTAATATTAAGCTTTGAACATGGCTTGCTCTGAATGTATTCCATAGACATTGTGGAGAGTGAGAAAGATTGTACCAAATAGCTGGTGAGCTGAACTCCAGGGAGAAGGCCAGGTCAGCATTCAGGGAGCACATCTGGCATCAGCAGCTGCCAAAGCAAGGACTGCAGGGATGATGGGGAGGGAAGGGGAGTTGGCCACTCCAGAGTCTTTCAAATACCTGAACATGCAAAGTCCCATCCACCACCTATGAGTGCCTGAGCTACCAAGTGCTGGCTTCTTCTCCCTGGCTCTGGGGAAAACTAATGGTTAGTTGCTAGGAAGAGCTACCAAAGCAGTCAAAAAATTTCTTCCAGCTCTGCACACACCTTTTTTGTTCCATGCAGATTGGCTCTTTACTTCAGTTTCCATCCTTAATGCCTCACTTGAACCTCATTCCTTATGTTTCCCTCTCTCCTCAATATTTTTCCTCTCACCTCCCCTTCCCTTCAGCATCCTTCCCCTCCCTGCTCTTTACATATGCTTGATTTCTTCGTAACTAATTTATTTCATCACTATTCCCGGAAGAGAAAAACAAACCCTAACCAGCAAAGAACCCAACTATAGGACTAGCTTCCTCCTTATTGCCCTTCTCAAGATCATTTCACTTGCTTGCTCCATCCCTGCCCCAGCAGGCTGTCTCTCTTGGTGGTGTAGGCTGAAACAAAAAAACCCAAAAATCTCTCTGGGAAACATCATCTTCTATTCTGTGCTCAGGCAAACAGATTTTATTTCACTCAGCCTCTAGGCGGTACCTAGTACACATTAATCTTTTCTATGGGTAGAAGTTTAGAAGGCTACAGCTCTCCTAGAAGTAAGATAAAGATATACAACTAAATGTAGAAATTGGATGCATACACACTGCACTCCATAAAGCTGTAGTTGTACTAGACAGAAATACAATCTTGCTGTCAGACACATGCACAAAATTGACTCCACTGAGGATTACAAGTGAATTATTAACAGATGAATGTAGTAGTTTGCTACACCTAGTAAATATTACAATACATACATACATACATACATATATATGTGCACCTATGCCAAGTTTGGCAGTTCTGCCTCACCACCAGACTGAGCAGGTGCTGATTTCACAGGCCACAGTTTGGCATGGATGAGTCAGACACAGGTGAACAACTCCAATTGTTGATGCTTAATAAAGGTTCTCGCTTTAGCCCTTCTCCCTTTAGACTTCCCTCCTCTTTTGTGGTGCAATTACTGTTTAGTCTCCTTGGAGATGGGAATTCTCTTATTTGGGCTATCTGGCAGCAGCTGAGCGTCAGGCAGTAGCTGCTTTCACAAGAAGCCCCTGAGTTCTGCACCTGGAGGAGGCAGCCAACTTGTGGCTGAAGTGGCAGCAGTGAGAAACTGTTGCATGAGCAACCTGAGTATATTGCTGAAAGGTGATACAGCAAGGAATGAACCAGGCTTATGCCTTTCATTCTTATTTTTAAAGAATTACAGAGACAACTCAGACTTTTAGTGCTTGCAATGTGCTTGAGCTACTTTCATGAATGTTAAGATTTTCTTTCCTGTTTTGCTGAAAGATGAAGCTTGGAAAACCTCAAGACGAAGTACAGGACCATGGATACTGAACATGTACAAAACAGCTTCTTTGCAAAAACGATGCAAAAATAGGCTGAATAAAAAAACCACAAACAACTCTTGTTATCTGATGTGCCATAAAATCCCTACTTCCTAAAGGCTTTTTCTACATGGAAAAGGTATTTTCTTGGTATACCTGAAATGGCAAGATGGCACATTAGTATTTAACATGTGTGTATATATTTTCATACCTATATATACATATATATACATATCTAACCCCACCTTATTCACCACATAATTATCTGACACAAGAACTGCATGAGACAAGCCTTGGTCTATCTCTTGCATGACTTTCTGGACAAACAAGGCCAGGTAAGCCTTCTTTGTATGTCAGGAAAAGTGAACAAGCACAGTTTTTTATCTTTTTATTCACTGTTGCAATGGGAGAAGATGAGAGATCTGTATTCTGTCCCACTCCTGTCTCTGTCAGCAGATAAGGAGTATGAACAGGGAAATATGTGATTAATTTTCAACCTGCTGCAAACAGCCTACAAGTGAAACACTGTTTTTTTATAATGTGCTTTGTACATGCATGCACACTGGACCCAGTCACTCAAGGTACCCTTTAGAACCCTTGGCTTCTGAGCATCAAGCAAGGCAGAGAACAACTTAGCACCATGCAGGACTGGGGTCTCTGTGTATGCATACACCAGTTTCAAACATAACCTTGAAAGTGTTCAGACCTTCCAAAAGCTACAAATCAGTGTAAGTGGTAATTTCAGAACACATGTCATCTCCAAGCGGGTGGCCTGGATCCAGAGATGACATCTCCACTGCTAGTCATACCTGGTGGTTAGTCCTATCCACAGTGTTGGCAGTGGAAGCATGGTCACGAGTGTTTTGTCGGACTCGGGTGGAGTTTTGCTGCTCAATGGTTGAGGAAGTGGGGATGCAGAACTCTCTGAAACACCTTTTGAAATTCTCATCTAGAAATGCATAAAGGACCGGATTAAGGCAGCTATTTGTATACCCTAGAGCAATACAGAAGTGCCAGGAGACAGTCTGGAAAGTAGTTTCTGGGATGTTGACCAGGGCTTTAATGATAACATAAATGTGGATGGGAGTCCAGCAGACAATGAACACTGCCACCACCACAAGAACCATCCGGGTGATTCTCCTCAGGTTCCTGTCCTTCTCTTTGGAGCCGGATAACATGCGGACGCTCTTCAGGCGTAAAATCATCAGCCCGTAACACACCGTAATGATCAGCACCGGCATGATGAAGGCAAAGATGAACACACAGATTTTCAGGAGGTTCTCCCAGTACCAAGCAGGGTGGGAGAATGTAAGGGTGCAGTCAATTGAGCCTGAGGAAAAGGAAAACAGCAGAGAAGGGCATGCAGGTTAGCTTTTCATTTGCTTTTCTTTAATCCTTTCTTTAATTAAATATCATAGGCAAATATATGAAGACTTTACACCTAAGTAAACGTGTAAAATGAAACAATCTGTGACCTGTCATTTCCACAAACATTGGTAGGATAGAGTGCATGAAGCATGAGTTAGAAAAACAAAACTAAATTAACATGTTCTCTTTTGCATATTATGGCTTGGAATTTAATGGATACTAAACAAGGAAAAGAGTTGAATTGTCATATATGCTTAAACTTTGACTGATTTCCACTTTCAGTATAAAACATGGTGAAAAGAAAGTTTGTTAAGCCACCACATATGTTGAGAGTTTGGGCATTTCAGGGCGACAGGGAAGAGAATGCCACGACACTTGGTAACTATGCGCTGTGGATGGATTTATGCTGACATGCTGTCACTGCCCCTTTACGGAAGGTCTTGGGAGTACCAGTGGTCCAGAACGTGCTCTCTGCTCTGTATCATGTCCTGCCAGACAGAGTGTAACATATCTATGACTGCCAGCTTTCCAGTGAGAGTAAATCCCGGGTAAAGCACAGGCTCCTGTGCTGAGGGGCAGTGCAGAACTGCCCCACTGCAGAAGGCAGGCAGGCAGATGCTTTTCCAAGCACTACAGTAACTGAGTGGGACAGCAAGACTTGCATGGACCCCCTGAAGGAGCTGGAGCTGCTTGTTGTAAAACATGGATCACATGCACTGCTTGTGCAATCAACTGTAGCCAGATGCAAAATTGTTGAAGGGGCTCATTTGCACTGATACTTGCTTTACACAGGGTAGAGGTCAGAAGTTAATTCAACGCCTCTACACTACAGTGAAACAATGCAGAAAGGAGTTTAAATGTAGAGTACTCAATTTAGGAATGACAGCCAGACTTACCATGCCTGTATTTAGTAGTTGCCATGAACATAACTGGCAGGCCAATGGCAGAGGAAAGAATCCAGTTGCAGACATTGACAATTTTGGCATTTCGGGGGGTGCGGAAATCAAGGGCCTTAACTGGGTGGCAAACAGCCACGTAGCGATCCACACTCATGGTGCAGAGAGTGAAGATACTGGTGAACATATTGTAGTAGTCTATGGATATAACAATCTTACAGAGGATGGTACCAAAGGGCCAGGTTCCCATCAAGTAATTCACGCTCTGGAATGGCAGAGTACTTGTTGCTAGGGCATCTGCCAATGCAAGATTGAAAATATAGATGTTGGTGGCAGTCTTCATTTTCGTGTACCTAGGGAAAAAAAAATTGGCAGAGCATGTGAATGACTACCACTGACATTGTTAAATAAAATTGAATTCAGTGCATCATCTATAAAAAGCTTCTGTAAAATAATGTGCTAGATACTGTCAAAGATCACATTTCCTGCTTTTAAAGGAATGACCACACTATGATTCACCTCCATGTTGGCGGTTCAGTGAGACATCAGCTAAAGGGTATAAGGAAGAAAAGATTAATTTAACTTGTGCAGAAGAAAAAGATACACATAGAAGAAACAATATTATAGATGCTAACGAATTGAGAAGATGAAAAAATTGTATGTTTACAGATTAGATACTGTACTACATGGATAGATTTTCTGTACCTGCTGATGTCATGCCAAATATCATAACTATGTTCTGTACAAATAAAAATTCATTTCTAGGTTGTGAAGTAGTAATGATGTCATTCCAAAAGAGCAGCACTTGAGACCCATTTTTTATGTAGAGGCTGTACTTTTGCAGTGGTACAAAAACAGTTTCAATTTAAGTAATGCTCCTGGTCATGCTGCCCTGATCGCTGCTGAGGTTGCTGAGCCCTGTGGCTGCTTGGCTTTTGGGGGTCAGATGGCTTGTTCTTTTGATGAAACTTCCTTCCATTTCTGCAAAACTAATAAGAAGAGTGTTTGATCAAATATTTTACAATTTATAGAGTGCTTTTCAAGAGGAATAGCTAATTTCAAAAGACCTGTTAGGGAACCTGCTAGGGTAAACAAAAAGTAAAATACATAATTTTGTGGGTTTTATCTCTCTGAGTTAGATTTTTTCAGAACATGAGTCAGTTGCCTAAAATCCCAATGAAAGAATTGTGTAGGGAATGCAACTTTTCTTTGGTAGTGTGTGCAGAAATGCAGACTTCATGTTGAATGGACCTAGAAAGATTTTATGATGAACATTTGAAGTCATTGGTACTGGATCTGTTCTCTCATTTTTAGCACTTATCATGAGAAGACACTAACAATCCTAATTTCAATTTAGGGTGGTTTTTAAAAGCAGATTTCTAAGTAGATCCAAGCGCTATCTTGGTTGATACCTTGAGAAAGTATGATCTGAATATGATACTTTCAAGTTGTAAATAAACTCCATATTCTGAAAGTCCTGTAAAACTTTCCTTACTCCATTTATATAACAAGTTTGTAACTAACACAGGAGGAGGTAGATGCTGCAAGCATCTACAACTCTCTTCTGGAAATTTGGAAAATGTACAGGATTGCAGTGTGGGACAGGTACACAATAAAAGCTATAGCTCTAAAAGCTGTTTGGAAGGAGAAGAAAATATTTCTCAGGCAACTTGCTGGAGAATCTTCCAGATGAGAATAAAAGCAGCAACATTTATATTCTGCTTTTAATATTATCGAGTACTAAGCCCTGTGGTTTATCAAAATGAATATCTCTCCAAAGGTCTGAGATATCCAGGAGTATCTGCAGGTTTGTCCAGAGCTGACCTGAAGGTTTGATTGTGTTGTGAGCAGACATATCCAGCTTGCTCCCCCCTGATCTGCTCAGGCCAGGACAGCGACAGAGGGGCAGTGGCTCTCAAAGGTGATGAGGGCTCTGTGCCCTCACCTGGGCTGCTGATCCCTGCTCAGACCTTAGATGATTGCCTGCCTTCTTCACAGCTGGACAAGAAAGCACACTTGGGAATGCTGCTCAGTGCTGCTGCCATCACACGGGATTTGGGACAGGTCTGTCTGGAGAGCGCATGGTCAGGTAATGATGACAATGCTTTGTCAGCAGCAATTAAAGCCATTATGATTTAAAAGAAATGCTTGATACAGCAAAAAAGTCCAAACCATCAACCAACAAGTAAATGACTTTCAGGTTAGCATGACAGAGGATAGACAGAAAAACACTCTGAATAAATAGAATAAAGTTTTTTCACTGGGCATGGGCCTTATCCCCCTTAAATGCAACATATTTTTCAGTTTTGCATTCTAATTTTCAATGCCAGTTTAAGTTTAAAAGTTCTCGGACTTGCTTTGTTTAATGGCCTCTGTAGACCATTACTGAAGTGTTTTGCTTGATGTACTCTGTAATCTTTGTACTTCTAATCATGCTGTTCTTAAAATGAATAGAAGCAGAGCTCTTACGGTGACAGAAAGTATTTCCCTCCACCTGCTGCCTAATCAACAAAAGCCTATTGAAATTTACAATATTCTTTTCAGTGAATTCTATGGGCATTTCTCTGTACAAAATATTTAAAGATTTTATAAGGGGCTTATTTCTGCAAAGTACATTTTGCAAAACATGTATTTTTCTAAATTAGTAGATTATCAGTGTTCCCAGGATTATTTTTTGGCATGAACAAATAAATACCAAAGCACTTGATTAAACATAATTTTAACAGCATGAAAAGCGACAGTCAGTCAAAATTAAGCTTTTCAAAGTCTTGAACTTAGCTGCTATTATACTTTTTGCTAAGGTATCAGTCTACCTATTTGAACAAGCAGAACAAACATTTCCATTATCCAGACACAGATGTTTACGTGATTCTATTTCTACAGTTGAGATGGACTTAGTAATACCAAAATTTATAATGCAATACCAAAATTTATAAATGCAATCTTTTAAGATACTGCTTTCACACTTCCATTCAAATTTACTAGAGAATCTAAAACTTAACAGAAACGTAGATAAAAAATCTTAATTGCAAACTCATAAAAATCTGAATGCTGGTATTTAGATTACATTAAAATTTCAGCGTCTAAAACATCAAGTGTATTAAATTCTGCATAACAAAGCAAGGTTGCAAGTGAAGACAGAAGTTAGCTTTGGGTGGCCTTACTTTTATTTTACAGCTCTTCAAGGAAAAAACTAATAGAATGTGATGAACTTGGGGCTTTTTGTGAAATATTCAGCGCAATACTGCTCTTGGTATATATCCAAATTAATTATGCTCATTATAATACTGGCACCTACTAGTACACCCCTTCTAATTCTTCAGTGCAGGTTTTGTATCATAAAATATCTGTTCATGGAACTGTTGTTTTGCTGCTAATAGTAGATGATAACTCAGGTTTACAACAGTAAGAATACACTTTATGTCTGTCTAATTTTTAGGGAAAGCTCAGTCTTGTCTTTATCTTCAATCCTACAAAGCTTTAACGTAGACTTCCAGTTTGAAGACTTGAGCTGTACAGGTCCACTCACTGAGATTTACTTGGAATAAGAAAAAGCAATGGAGAAAAGAGTGAGAATTCAGCTCAGATAGCCACCACGTTCCTAGCATTCAAGGATTAATAGAAAGCCCTGAAATGGACCCCTCAACTGTCTGCCCAAAGGCCACTGTAGTTTGTAAACTAAATAAAAATTTCACCAGGTTAATCTTTCACCAGATTAACCTCAGAGAGACTCCAGCTCCCGAGGGTAACAGCACCTTTCCTTCCGCGTCTCGTGCAACAGGAGAGATGTGAGCATGTTTGTGACTCTTATTTAAGCCTCACTGAGTTTTTATAGTGCTATTGTGGTCCATACAACTGATGTAGTCATGTCCCTACTGCTCCCTAGTCAAATGGTTTACATCCATGTGGATTGTTGAGACATCCTCCCCTCTGCCCTTCTGGATCAGATCAGCTTTACAGCATCCTTGGACCACTGGGCTGGTGCAAAGAGGCTAGAGAGGTCCACACTTAGCTCAGTGTAATACAGATTATTATTATTATTATTATTATTATTGATAACAAGACCACCACCACCACCAAAAAATAATGATAAATTAGTATTATATTGTTATAATAATTATTATTAATGATAATGATGCAGCTCAGAATAATACATAACATTACAAATTAATTTGAAGAATTTCCTCTCTGAAAAACATCAATGAGGAGGGAAGCAGAAAGTCTTTTTCACTTATGAAATGGAATGGGCTGGTCGATGACAGACTGGTAATAATTACTTTCAGCAACACAAAGGCATGCAAGGTTTTGCCTACGGAATGCTAATTTGGAGACAAAGACTACTTCAAGATCTGTGTCGAAGTTCAGCACAAAATACATGAAAAACTGGACAAAATCACTGGAGATTCACTGCAGAAAGCAGTCACTCTCAAAAATGGTTTGGCTGCTGAAAGAAACAACAGCCAACTGTTAGGTCTTGCATACAGACAACCTGACATAACTCTTCTTGATGCTGGAGATTAGGTTAGCATTTCAAATTCATGTTCTTCTTGCATAAATGACTTGTTAAACAAATGAAGAATCATTATGTGCATACATTAGATTAGCTGAGGTTGCCTTGGGTGGCAAGATTAAAAACACGTGAAGTATGCCTAGTTGAATCAATTTAATTTTTTTTTCCCCCATGACTGTTCTGGTGCACCTTGTATAATGCAACTCAAAAACAGTAGGAAAAAGGGATTTTTTGGCATGTTTTCTTGAGATATCAGGTGCTTTCAATTTTTCTTGAGTCCCTAAAGCTTTGAACAAAGTCATGACCTACTCAAGGTGGTCTGTAAAAACCTGAAAAATTTTTCTGTCTGCCAATCCAGTTTTAATATTTAACACTGAAATGAAGTCTCTCAAGCCCCATTCTGGAAAGTACCTTTGAGCTAAAGGGTCTCAAAAGGGACTTTACTGATGTCCATCTATTTTATTATCCTTTTCTTCCCACAGTAATGGGTCTCCATAGAGTGAAAGACCCATACTATATCTCAGCCACAGCTAAGACGTGTGCTGTGGCAGGCTGTAACCTATTAAAACTTTTGAAGTCATATATATTCTGGAAAGGTCTAACCTTCATGTCTGTGAGCACATGATTTAATTACCTTGAAAACTTAAGTCTTTGATTTTTCTATTAATGGGTACTTCTGAATGCTTTTTCCTTAAGCCATTTAATTTCATCTCTGGCTACAAGCACCATAAATTTGTGCACAACCCTGATAGGTTATTAGGCAGTAAGGCCACCCAGATTGGAAGTGCCATCTTGTGGTTAACAAACTCTGCATCCTTTTGATGAATATTCTACTAAAGAGAT